TAACCTAAAACAGACGAATTAGATAATTGATTTTCATCATGTAAATCTTGTCCAAAGACTTTCTTAACGCACTGTATATGCAATCTAACATCATAACTATGTACAGTTAACTCTTCTATTTTTATGTCATCATTAACTATTCGAAATTCCCAACGTTGATTATGTGAGATACTATAAAATGCCATAAATTTGTTTCTATATTCTTTTTAATTAATCCATCATCAACCAATTTAGGATTATGTACTGTATATTTAACTTCAGAATTGCATTCTGTGTAGTAATCGGATTTATTAAAATCATTTCTAAATGCGTGGCGGTAGATGTAGTAGTGGTATTTGGCATCTGTTTTGTATGAATACTGTGATAATCATCAATACCAATGCTTCATTTGTGTATTTGGTAAGTTCAAAATCAATAATTTTTGTGTGCTCCACCAATGCAGAAGTTTTATGTCGTGTAATTGTGCGAGATGTTGTATTTACCTCTAAATTTGCAATTGTATCTATCGAAGTATTGGATGCACCAGTTGAATCTAAATACATTGTTAAATCCTTCTTGGCATTATTAACAAATTTGTTTTGAATTCCACAGAGAAAGTAACATATAAATAATAGCTGGTTTTTTGTACGTTCCTGTGAACCCTTATTGTTTGATGACGGATTAGATGAAAGGTATAACTCATCAAAAAAAAACTTTAATCTTGCATCCTCTTTTTCCATAACCGTTCTAAATTTATCGAATTAATATATTGTTGATTTGTTTTCTCTATTTTCACGAGCATAAAAAAAATTGTTGTTACTTCTACTACTCTGGGAAAAGATAAATAGTTAGAATCCTCCATTTCATTTGTTCAGGTTGCCTAAAATTAGCTTGTGCAATTCAATTGAGCATCTTGTCACAATTCCATTATAACAGTTTAAGCATATTGTATCACCTAAATGGACATATTCTGGTAAAGTACTGTTAGCTTGTCTTTTGGAAATAACAAACTCGGTTACCTTTTTCCAATTAGTTGACTGTCTTTGACATATAATAATTACACATGGACCAGTAATTCGTGGGAAAAAAAATATTTGGCAATCACGTGAAAATCCTTATCGTCGAAAATAGTCACAATTAAATAAGATTACTCCCAAATCTAAAAGTGAGAATATGGAAATTTCTTGATTCTGTGATGGATTAGAATTAGTTATGTATATAATTTTATTCGTATTAAATAACGTATTATTCGAAGGGATGGAAACAACGACACGACAACAACAATAATAATATAAGAAAGTAGTGTAGTAATAATAATATATGAAATATAAGAAATAATGGAAATATTACAACTACTGGGGAAAGAATTAAACTACAGTATTTATGGATGCTTTGATATCATAAACTGCTAATGTTATTCAATCACATTATACACTAGCTCGTAATTTATAACTTATTTTTATCGTAACCAAATTGTGGAAACTATGGAGAAGATCAAAGGTATCAAAAAGTATGTCAATTATTTGCATACATATAATTCTTAAATGAATATTCAACAATGTGCATATTCTGAATCAACATTTAACCTTAAACAAAAACAACTGACAACGACAGCAAGAGAGACTAATAACAGCAGAAGAAGATGGAATGATTGAAAAGTTTAAGAATTAAGTATGAAAAGAGGAGAAGGAAAAATTACTAATTCTAAAGATATTTCCGAAATATCAGATTTAAGATATTGTTTAAATTTTTGAATCTTTTATTGATAGATTATAATTTGTCGGGATTTATTAAACACCTTCAACAATATGTTTAATTCTTATTAGAAACTCCTTCAAGTTTATTTCTTCATGGTGAACAATTATTAAAAAAATTAACTATGAGAAAGCAGCTGCGAATTTTATTCAAGCTGAAGAAGCTTTTTGTGAGTATTTTTGTTATTATTCATTGTATTATTATTTATTTTATTTTATTTATTTTAATTTATTTATTTAATTTAATTTATTTAGATGATGATTCCACCCACTAGACTAAGTTTTAATAAAATGTTCTTTCGTACATAATAAACGTATTCCATATCGATCGGAATTTTACCAAAAAAATAAGCGAAATCCTCAGAAGAATGACCTGCCGGACAATACTCAAATTTTTCTATTTTCGAGACATGGGAAATAAAAGATTTGAACAATCTTAAAGTTTCTTTATATGCTCATAAGACCATTGAATTCAAAAATCTAGAAGTAAAAAGTAGAAATTACTAAATAAAGTCTATTGAAATGTTGTATTCCTTACAATATTTTATGATGGGACGGAACAACCGTCAAAAAAATATAAGCTTTACAAAGGAAAGCTTAAATATTTATAAATAAATTATCTATAAATGTAATAATTTTATTGTTATAATTATTATTGTGCAGTTGTGTGGTCGCTAAGTCTAAGGATCATAGACAACGTTGAAGGGAGGAGGCAATTTCCACACATGAAAAAATGACGACTCTCTTTTAGTTGTTAAAATTAAACCATAATTACCTGATTCTGACTAGACGTATGAACAAGAAGCTAAATTACTTGTAAGATTATTATTATTTGAACCTAATTTATGGATTCTATATATTACCCATTATTTTTTTTAATTATATATTATTTTTTTAAATGAATGTAATGTTTTATTGCACCCAAGTAAAGCTCTCAATCGGTTTGGTAAAAACCTAAACCGAACCGCCAGTTTCGGTTCGGTTCGGTTTATTAAATATATGTACAAACCGAAATCATCATGGTTTCACCATCTATTTACTTTAATAAAGATCTAGATTTTTTTTTATTATTTTTTTTAATAATTATAATGGCTGAGATTATAAGTGATACTGAATCAGAAAATTCTCAAGAAAACATAGATGATAATGAACCATCAGTTTCAAGAGAAGC